TGTCATTCGACTAATGCCTAAATAAGATAATGTAGACTCTCTCTCGTGGCGAAAACCGTTTCTCGCCTTGCTTCGCTGGTCCAATCCACTCGCGTCGTAGCCCTTTCAAAAATCGGTATAAATGCGACCGCTCAAAGCGGCTCTTCACTTCGACTGTACAACTCTTCCGAACGCTAATCAGTGCGAATCAACTTAGTTTTTTACACAAATCGGTCAGTTAGATCGCGGCGGGTTCTCTCGAGCTCACATCCCACTGGGGATATCGCAGCTCGCAATCGGAATCCGTGAGATTCCTTCTCCTGGATCGCGTATTCACGAGCTTTCGCTCTATCAGTATCGCTACGCGCTCCAGGCTCTAGTGACTCGCCAGTTGCCTAACAGCTGACTTGCATCGCTTATGATCGGGCAAAACCGAGTGGACTGTGGACCTCCGAGAATCGTTTACTTTAAATCAAAAATAGCCGTTAATTGCGCTGTCCGAACGCTCGCGCGACGTTCGGTCTCGAACTTTAATCAATTGTTTATTGTGCATCGTCCTGTATAGTAAGCCGTCGGTCTCAGCCGCGCGTGTGAACGAGCTCAGGGCCGCGCAGTCAAGATTTCCGACGTTTCGCGGCAAGATCTCCGTCGATTGAGGATCGAATCGATTCTCGGCAAGATTTCCGCCGCACAACTCAAGGCCCTCGGCACAAGAGCTCGAAGAAGATTTCCGACTTTCGCCTAACGTGAGACCGGACGAGCTGCGAACCGACAACTTGACTAGTTAATAAAAAACAAAACTGAGTGACTCATACGACTTGATCTCCATCTAACCTCATGGCTACTCAACTCCTCAGCACTACTCCTCTGCCTTGCGCTAGGCACAACCGGCGCTTTACGTCGGTCCTCGACCTCAGTCGATTCCGAAACACAGTCTAATGTCATTAATTATAAATTATATAAATTGTGTATGTATTCAATTAATATAACTTTTATTGTTAGCGGATGAATGTCAATCCATATGGATAAGATTGAGAGAACGCTATTCACGCAAAAAAAGCAACGTCAAGAAGAAACAACTGGAAGTGGAGCATTAAAAAGAAAAACATTCGAATTTTTCGAGAATATGCAATTCCTGGAACGATTTGTTAAGAGGAGAAGATACGATTAATATGTAATTATCAAGAAATTAGGATAATATAGCGTTTTTGTACTTTAAGAAAAATAAAACCTAAATAGTACAGACCTCCAGAGAGACATCTTAAAAACATCCTGAGAATATCTACATTATATATTGGACAATATTAGAAAGTATATTTTTACATATTCTTAACATTATTTCTTTCTTTTCTAAAACGATGACCAATATATATAAGGAAAAGGAACCTCCAGTGGCAAGATCTTCCAATATTCAAAAGTGCGTAACACGTTAATCAATTTTCATATTAAGAAGAAATTATATATTTGCAAATTATTAACGAAACCTCTGTTATTTTGTTTCAGAAATTTTGGCTCTCATGATGAAAAGAATAACTTATTCTCCATAAACATGGGTACTTTTATTAAACAATCTTCAGCAAAGAGCAATATAGATGTACCTCGCAACACGCACACACAGGAGCAGTATTTCCATAAACGTCAATTTATGTGCAATTTTTTATTTTTAGGGAATTTATTTTATAAAAAGTTTTCATACTCTTCTTTTATGTATAGACACACAGCCACACTATAATGACATGTTTAAAATTCTGCTTGTAATACAGACTCATTAACTTCGGACTTGCATACAAATGCGGATATCTCTTCCGTATCTGCTTTAAGTGTACCTCGCTATATGCAAAACAAAGATGTAATTGGACAACGGATACGGTCGAAAGGAAAATCCTAGACAGATATTCTAGAAAATACAATTGGTAAAGTTACTTCTTTTCTAGAAAACAGATATGTTTCTTCATTGCAGACATTTTTAAAGCCAGAAGTAGGAGAAGATTTGGTTTTTTGTCAACTAATATTTTCTTTGCTTACTAATCTGTCCGAAGATACAAAAGCCGCGCGCTGATAGGAGGAAGCAAAAGCTATTGCCGCGCCAGGTTTTCGCGATCGCTCCGCAATATCGATAGACGGTTCTCTCTCTAAGAGAGTCGTGCAAGAGAGTCGTAACGAGTCAGTCGTACAGCACAGTCGCCTCAAAAATCAGTCGTATTTCACAGTCAGTCGCACAAGTCAGTCGCATCGAGAGGCCGTTCCTCTCCCGCGCCGTAGACTAGCACACGTTCCGTGTCTGGACTAGCCGTCCTTCACGTCGCGGTATTTCTCGCGTGTTGCGTACCGGTCGTGTTGCGATACGTAAGTGGTTCTCACTCACGCCGGTATCGACATAGAGACAGTTCGTGCATTGTGCTCACAAGGACGCAGCGGCGTAACCATTGTGTTGTGCATTTGTGTAATACGCTAGTGCAACTGCTAGTGACATCGGTCACACGTGTGCATTCGTTCAGCAGTTATTTAGTGCTCCGCCACGCATATCTCTCCTGCTCGCTTAGCGTAGCATAGCGTAGTGCATACGCGAGCAGTAGCACGGGTTGTCCACGTGCTGCGGACATCGCCCGTGCGCACACGGCACATTGGCGCGCTGTGATCACGTGATCCTGCGTGATCACCGGCGTACAGTTCCGGCATCGTGCCTACCTGTGCACGTGCTCGTACACGGGTACGCGCGTGCCTCTCTTTGTCTGTGTGGAGCAGGTCTGTTTGCTACTTGCTTTGTTTTCATGTTGACTTCCACACAAGCGTGATAACGTCTTTTCTATTCTTCTCTTTGTGCCAACTTGCTGTGTGTGTAATAGTGCGAGCGTTAAGGTTAAATTTGTATATGATTCTTAAAGTCTATTGCTTCTTTTGTTCCTTTGTACGGAGACAAAGTGCGTGCGTGTCTCATCATTTCTTTTCTTGTCTCGCGTTCATCTCTCGTGCTGCGTGGTGGCTGTAGCCCACCAGAGAGACGTGTGCATTATTCGCAAATATACATGCTGTTATTGATAGGTTAAGCGAGTCTTGATTCTCAATAGTCATTTGTGTGTGTTCGTCCAGAGTTGCATTGCCATTGAATACACGCTTAGAGTCTGTGTGGTACAACATACACAGGAGACTTCGTGTATGTTTGAGTGACATGCCCACATAGTAGTGACCCCGACGTGATCTCAAACGGTCGGTCGGCCCGACGTGATCTCAAACGGTTGGTCGGCCCGACGTGATCTCGGTCTGCACACTTCTTATTCTACCCTCACAAGATAAATATATGAAAGTGCTAAACCAATGCAGCTCTGTGACTTAGCGAACTTGTGCGAGTGCTGAGCACACCTTTCTTTTGTTCATGTACATATAGATTTAAGCAGCGAAAGACATTGCAAACAAAGACTTTAAAAAAAAACGATCTCAGCGAAGTGAGTGACAGGGCCTCGTGAGAAGTGCGGAACTCTCGGCCTTCCTTCCTCCTCTGATTCTCTTTTTCTTTTCTTTGTCTTTTCTCGCGTGTGTCAAAACGAGTGAGTGAGTGAGTGCAATGTTGCACTCCCCTGTGCGTGGTACGAGTGACAGCTCCAGCACCGCGATGACGTCGCGTGGCGGTGTTCCACCTGCAGAGCATGCCCCTCGGCATGGAGATGGCAACCAGGATGCCAGTATCGACCGGAACGTCAGTGAGTTCCGAGGTAGAGCTCCTCCACTGCAACCTCCACAGATGGGCACTGAGCCATTCGGCGAGCCGACCATTGAGTCTGTCACCACGTGCAGAGTGCCACCTTTTTGGAAGCAGCAGCCGGCTTTGTGGTTTGCGCAAATCGAGTCACTTTTCCAGATCTATCGAGTCCGATCTGATGACAGCAGGTACCATCTTGTCATTGGTGCACTTGACTCGAAGGCGATTCAAGAGATTGCAGACATTCTCGCCACACCACCAGAGATCGACAAGTACGTCACGCTCAAGACGCAGCTACTTGCCCGTTTCGCTGACTCGGCGAACAAACAGCTCCATCGCCTGCTCACGGATCTGGAGCTTGGAGGCCGGAAGCCGTCACAGCTCCTTCGTCACATGAAGACGCTCGCCGGCAGCCGAGTATCGGAGGATGTGCTCCGAGTCCGCTGGTTGGCACTCCTGCCACCAGCCGTACAGCGAGTCCTAAAGATCCTGCGGACAACCAGCCTCGATGAACTCTCATCGGTAGCAGACGACCTCATGGAGGGCACCTTCACACCACAGGTCCTCGCAGTCACTACACCGCAAGCTCCTTCACCAGTTCGAGGCAGTCCAGCTCTTGCAGCCAGTAACCAGGACATTCACCAGTTGCAGGAGGCGGTGACGACGATGCAGCAGACAGTCTGTCATCTCACGACTTTGTTTGAACGTCTTTTGCCTCGGGTGTATATCAGTTGGACACCGGGCAATTGGATACAGTCCAATCACAAGTCGCTGTTCCAAGGGATCCTACAAATGTCTCTAATCACACGGTGCTGTGATTGGCTATGTCCAAATGCACCGTGTCCAAGTGCACCGCTCCTTTTTGCCTCAGATGGTCCACCAGGGACAAACTACTTATACGGGACGGCCGCGTTCCAGGTCGCGCCCCCGTAGCAGCCCAACTCGACAGAGAGGTAGTCAATGGTGCTACAATCATCGCCGTTTTGGCGCCTCTGCCAGGCAGTGCCACCAATCCTGCGGCTACAGGTCTTCAGCTTCTGCGGCAGCCCATGTGGGAAATTGACGCCGCTGTCGTCGGAGCAGGTGGTAGACGACAGCACTACTGCACCTGTCGGAAAAAGACTCCACGTGTTTGACAGAGTCACCTACATCAGGTTTCTGGTCGATTCGGGTTCCGTGGTCTCACTTATACCACGAAAGCTCATCCACTGAAAGCTCGCTCCAGCTGAACTGCGCCTGTTCGCCGCAAACTCCACAGCTATCAGCACATACGGACAAGAGCCGCTGACTCTCAACCTAGGACTTCGTCGTGCCTTCAGGTGGTCCTTCATCATTGCAGACGTGTCTTCAGCAATTTTAGGAGCAGATTTCTTGGCCCACTACGGACTGGTCATTGATCTTTCTCGGCGGAGCTTGGTAGATTCGCATACCAGCCTCATTACACAAGGTGCGATTCGCAATGCTGCCACAGTCAGCATCTCGGCAGTCGGGCAGCACAACCTCGCAGACTCACCGCAGCGTGATGCATACGCCAGCCTTCTACAGCGCCATGCTGCAGTCTTTACGCCAAGGCCTACCCCTTCAGCGTTTCGCTCTGACCGGACAGCGCACCACATTAGGACCACAGGCCCTCCAGTGTTTGCGCGTCCAAGGAGACTCTCAGGCGATCGCTTGGCAGCAGCCAAGGCGGACTTTGACCTACTGTTACACCTGGGTGTTGTGCAGCCATCGCACAGCCAGTGGGCGAGTCCAATTCACATAGTGCCCAAGGACCAAGGTGGATGGCGTACAACTGGGGACTACCGCCGCCTGAATGCTCAGACAGTTTCAGACAGATACCCAGTTCCTCGGATTGACGATATTCTGCAGCGGATGCATGGAAAACGGGTTTTCTCGACGATAGATCTCGTCCGAGCCTATCATCAGATTCCCATAGCACCAGAAGATGTGCCAAAAACTGCCGTTACGACACCTTTTGGCCTCTTCGAGTTTCTGGGCATGCCGCCTGGACTTCGCAACGCCACGCAGACGTTCCAGCGCCACATGGATGGTCTGTTGCGTGGAATAGACTTTGCAGCCTGCTATATAGACGACATCATAGTGTTTTCGAACAGCCATGAAGAGCATCTACAACATCTAGCGGTCATTCTAGAACTCCTGCAAGGCAGCGACTTGCCAGTCGACGCAGGAAAATCCTTCTTCGCACAGGACTCCGTTCAGTACTTAGGTTACACAGTCTCACAGTCTGGACTCAAGCCGCCGCAAGACAAAGTAAGAGCTATAGAGCAGTTTCCAAAGCCTGAAACTGTTACGGAACTTCACCGATTCCTTGGAATGACAAATTATTATCGTCGAATTCTGCCAAATGCCGCCAAGAGACAAGCACTGCTCACAGCATTCCTCAAGGATGCAAGGAAGAAAAACAAACGCAAGATTCTCTGGACACCGGAATTTCCTGAACTTGTAATATGTTGTTAATATTAATATTAACAAAAAAAAATTTTTTTTTAATAATTTCTGTAAAATACTTTTCAAACCATTCAACTTTTATTAAAAAATTTTTTTTGTATCTCTTACGGTTTTCATTATATTCCCTCTGATTGAATAAAGCCGATTTTTTTCAAAGGGGTATTTCATCCTCTAAACTTGCGAAAGGGCACATAGAATAAAATACGTATCTGTTATTTTGACCTAAAGTATAACATATTACAAGTTCATGAAAAAAATTATAACATGGATGAAAAGCTATTGTTACATTTCTAGTTACATAATTGCAATTAACATATAAACTGCGAATGAAGTATCTTCGTTAATCGTTTCAAGCTATATATTTGTTTGTTACAGAAATTGTGACGTAAGATGAAAATGAAAATAATAGAAAAATAAAGAAAAAGAAGTTATCTTTAGAAACAGAAATGGATTTAAAAATATTGAGGGTACGAAATGTTATAAAAAAAAAACAGCAAATAGCACAAATACAAGTGCAACATGAAAAAACAGTTATTGAAATTAAAGAGGCATACCTGAAGGAATTAAATCAATTGAAGTTACATGCTTCTCTGGCAAAGGCTAAATTAGCAGAGTTACTATTGAAGAAAGAAGAAAGCACCGTTCACATTGCTAAATAATTTTTATCTAAAATATAAAATATAGAATTTTAACGTTTATAATGTAAAATGCACTACTTAAAAACTTGAGACTGAATAATATATAAAAAAGTACAAGTAATATATAAATAGCAAGCAGTATTGTAATAGATACATTTTTAAATATAGATACAAAAGTATCTATATCTAAAAATATATGTTACAGCACTGATAGCAAGAAAGAGTACAAAATATAAAACAAAATATGCATATTAAGGTATATTAATATATTAAGTGTTTAATTATTTGTTTAATGATTTGTTTAAAAATACTTGTTTAATGATTTGTTTTAAAAATAATTATTTTATTTTGTTAAAAAATGAATAGATTAAAATATCTTTATTTCAGTTTTAATAACTTTTCTTTTAACTTATCATTCAATTAGTATATAGTATTGGTATAGTATATTTAATATCTCTCAGAAATTTCCTTACATTGTTTTTATTTTGTCATGACGGGATATTTCAATTGAAATACAAGGAAGTTACATATATATCTATTATATAGATATAATAGATATAAGAAATATATATATTAATTTATATTTTTTTATTTGTCAATATTGTAATTTGCCACTGGTTTATAATTGGAAAATAACAAAAGTTACATTATAATTACTGAATATCTTTATTGAAAAACATTATATTTATAATTACTTATTAGAATACATAAATAAATGCAAAAGTTATCAATATGTATACGTATTACTTTCAGCTTCCGTTTCTTCTTCTTAAATCGGCGACTCAATTATACATTTTTCTATCAGTTGAATAAACGTTCAATCAAAGCTTTATTATAAACTCCTCTCCTGGTTGTCAATGCGGTGGATTTCCTGGCACTTCTTCATATTCTTCGTCGACGATCCGTCTCAGATCGTCCTCAGCGATCGTTGCCGTCGGCCGCAAATTCCGACGGCTCGCGCGTCGCTCCGCAGTGCTGTGTGACCGCGCGCCGCGATCGTAAGCGACGGCCGTGCGTTCCGACGGCACGCGCTCCGCAATTCATCTGTAACTCTTTGTAATTGTGACACGTTCTAACAGTGTAAACCCGACGTGTAAATCTCGCTCGCGTTCGCGTGACCGAGTCCAAGGCCTCGCGCTTCAAGATTTCCATCGTCCGCGTCAAGATCTCCGTCGCGTGGGTATCGGTGAGATACTCAGCAAGACCTCCGTCGCGCGAAGAACGACCTTTCCAGCAAGACTTGCAGAAGATTTCCGTCTTCCGTCCCGTCGCGAGATCAGGTGAGTGTCAGGTGAAATTCGTGTGAAATTCAATAAAATCTGTGCTACATCGTAACTTCAATGTTTGAGTCTCATTTCTCGTCACCACCACCACTCCAACTCCCACGCACGATTCCGATGCCTCGCGCGAGGCAGTCCCGGCGCTTTTCGTGTCGGTCCTCGACTGCTTAACGTCGATTCCGACATAATTATCATCATCCACAGGAAGTTCATCTTTAAGTATAAGTGCTATATTGTGTATTAGGTGGTAAACTTAGTTCCTGCGGCTCACAGTTAGATGACGTTAGTTGTAGGTGTAATTTATTTTGACATATGAAACTGGCTGCATTTTAGAGGTTAGACAGTTGTCAATAAAATTCAGTGTGAAGAGATTCATTTAAGCGAGCAGTGCTATTTTTTCTTTTGATTAAATATGGAACGTGTTCCGGACGGCCGTAGGGTGTCCATGCGGAACGGGTACGGCGGGCGGCCGAGCCCCAGGCGCCGCTCAACTCGCGGTCGCCGGCCTACCGCCGCCAGTGCGCGCCGTCGCCGCGACGCGGCGAGCGCATCGGCCGGAGCCGCTTCTCGCGGTTAATTTTCGCTTAGGCGCCTATATAAGACGCCGCTCGAGACCACTCAAGGCTTTTACGCCTTTTGCCTGCTGCCAGCTTTGACTGCACATCAGGTATTCTTTTACGCTCTAGCTAGCTTCAAATCGCCTTTTTGAGTGCGCAAGCACGTTGGGCACGTGTATCACCAGAGGTTTACTTGCATATCTGCATCGATCCTCACTGCCTTAAGAGTGTCATAGACACGTTAGCAATTGTTTAGATTTCGGTGGTTGTGTTTAGATTTCGGCAATTCTACACAACTTTTCGCAGCCCTTTAGAGTGCGCCTTGCACGTTGGGCTATTGCCTTTGAGTGTCCGAGGACACATTGACATCTGTGGTACGAAGTGTATGGTAACTCCACAGATCTCCACCTTCTCAATACGATCGAGAATTGAGAGAAGGCTTCGCGCGATCACTTCGGATTACCTGGACGCCTCCACCGCGGTGGACGTCTCGCTTCGCGACATTCCCGCACCGAATACCGGGCATTAGCGCCAACAGAACTTAGTACGATTGAACTCACGACTCCCCGCGAGTCGTCGTTGTAATCAAGAACTCCGCGGCCAGGGCCGCAGCTCTCTCGCGAGCCACGCTCGCTATTGCTTCGCTGCCAGGAACGCAGCATATACACGCGAGCCACGCTCGCATTTACGTCCGCCTAG